TTCGGTTTCCTCTTCCATTGTTTTATGTTGTTATCTATTTATCACAGATTTGTTTTGGTTGTCTAGAACAGTTTTAAAGGTGCTAAAAAAAACTACAGTTTTAGCATAATGGATACTGCTGGAACAATGATCATCAAAGAAGAGCACAAAAAGGTCAAATATTTTTTTTGTCTGTGTGTGTTTGTTGGTGTTTATAGATGTTGATGGCTATATCTATGCTATACTTTTATTATATTTTCATCAAAAATATTTTTTTCGGCTGTCTGTTACGGTATTTGTAATACTAAGAAATACTAAGAAAAAAATATATATTTGGAAGAAGGTATATGAAAAAAATAAAGGGATAAATTTAAAAACAAAACAAGAAAATAGTCGATACAGTTGAAATACTTACAGTGGTGTTTTTTCGTCTACAATTGGTCCAAAGATTGGATCGTCAACCATATATTTCTTGTAATGTTTATTATTACGGCTGCAAAGAAAACGAAAAAACAAGTTGAAAAATTAAAAAACCTTTAGCAAGTAGATAAAATATTATTATGTTCTGCATTTTTCTTTTTGAAACCACTGCAAATAGAGTATACCAATAAGCTTGGCAAATGCTAATTACAAAGGTTGAACACAAATTAAAAAGTATTGTTTGAATTAAATAACTTTTACCAAAAAAAAAATGTCTATTGGTAGTTGAAAACCGTATATCGCCATTTCTTTTTTTTTTTTTTTCTTTGCAAATTCCATTTAAAATTATCCAATTTTAAACATTTTTTTTCTTTTTTGTTTTTTGATCATCGAATTAACCGCATTGTTTGTCAGCTTCTTTTCAAACTCCATAAATAGTGTATTTAGGCAAATAAAAATTAACTGAGTCAAGACAAAACTTATCAGGGACGGGGCAGCTCTGCTGTTCTTCCTCCTCCTCCTTCTCCTCCTCCTCCTCCCCCCTCCTTCCAATAAATCCAACAAATTAATCTAAACTAAAAAATTTAGAAAAAAAAAAAAGTAGCAACAAAAAAAGAAAACCAACCTGTTGCAGTCAGTTTTATCGCTTGCATACATAATAACGCTTGGATCATCGTCTTCAAAGTAGAGTTGCACTCCCCATGCAATCAGTAATGCAATTAGTGCGAAACAAAAATACAACAGAAAATTTTGCCATCTTAAATCACATTTGTTTTGATTTTGGTTGTGCGCTGAATTCAATTTTTTTTCCCCTTTGCTTGACCCGTATATAAAATTGGTGAAAAAAAAAAAGTGTATTTTGGATTATTTGTAAAGTAGGAGAAATGGAAAAAAAACAGTAGAATTTTTGCCGTGTTGATTCTCTCAAATCACTTAACACAAGTTCTCCTTTGCAACTGTTTACCAGTAAAGTAAATACCCCGATCCGTTAGTGTTGATATTTCAACTGCGACTTTAAGATAAAGTTGTAAAAGAAAATGCCAAGAAAAGGTGCGGAAAGATAACTAACTCAGTTTCCAGCTCTATATCGTTAGCACAACAAGCCACTTGACCAAATACTCTACAACAGCTGTATCCAGTGGAACATAAATATATGTTTGGCTAAAAAAAACAACAACAACAAACACCAGTTAAGCATAGCAGTAACAAGGTAAAATGCAAAATGAATGAGGCAAACTGCATATGCATTAATGCCTAGATTTGTTACTAATAAGTTTAAGTAAAAAAGAAGGTGAACTGAGATTTGGATCAGACAAATACTACAACTGTAGAGCAGAAATGCTAACAATTTTTACCTGATAGGGTGGTTCAAGTGACTCCAGTGAACACTTCAGTTTACCTTCATTTTCCGTACGCGTAAAATGGACTGTAAGAAGAAGCAGAAAAATTGTCTGCCTCATCAAAATAAAAAAATTCTTATCCAATGATGTAAATTTTATTTTCCACACAATTATATGTGTTTTCCTTTTTTTTGGGAAAAGCAGAAAACTCCTGAAGAAAAGAAAGAGATAGAAGAAGAAGGAGGACAAAAAATGCGGTTATACCAATACCAATAAAAGATTTTGAGGTGTTGCTAAGAAACGTTTGGTTTGCTAAATCAGATTCTAAGCATTCGTCACTAAGTTCCTGAAAGAGACAAAAAAGCACTACCTTTCTAAGATTTATATGAATGGATATTTATGATGGTAAAAACCGCTGTTTTCCAGTCTTCTTCCTGCTTTCTTTTCCTAATCATTTTTAA